ATTATCTCCACATTAAAATTTCACTTACCCCACTTGAGATACGTCTCTTAGGATTCCTGTGCTAGCTACTAGTAGAATGACAAAAGCCACTTTACTTTGTGGGTTGATTATCCCTAAATTTTTAATTCAAATCAAATAAGTTCTTTTTATATATTTTCCTTACTTTGAAAACATAGAGCATAATTTTTTATTTCCAAAAAGGTTTTTCTAAAGGTACAATAATATATATATATTTAATATTAATTAATAATTAAAATATAAAAATTAATATTAATTACATCTTTAATATATATCTTTATAGTGTTTATTAGGAAAATCTTTACAAAAATAAAAAAGAAAAAAATAAGAGAGATACGGTTCATAGAAGCATGCCATCCCAATATCGATCCCATCATGCTTCTCCAATTTAAAATGGAAGTAAATATCATGGCTCAAGGCAGCAGCCATGGCAACCAATTATGTCGATGTCCTGTGAAATCCCCTATGTTTCCCAAAGACTGCCCTACTATGCACTCCATTAGTATTCACCAAAAACAAAGAGCGGATTTAATAATGGATTCTTTTATCCTATACTTGAATGATGTAATAAATATATTTTTAATTAATTTTTACTAAAAATATAAATTTTATTTTTATTTTTATTAATTAATTTTTTAAAAAAATGTATTATACCTTTAAAATTACAAGTTAGAACATACCCTTCAATAATTGACTGAAATCCCCTATTGTTGCATGGCTATGATCATTTCATGTCAATTGTTTAGATTTCTTGTGTTATTGGAATTCCTAAAGGATTCTGCCTATTATGTCCCACAAAGATTCCTTTCTTCCTTCTTCTCCCTTCTTCGTCTGTCAGAAAGAAAATAATATTGTAGAAATGTTATTATAGCAATGAAGAAAACCAAAGAATCCAATAAGATTCCTTCCCTTCCCCAATCAACCCAACTTGCTTCCTACCCCACTTCACTTAATAATTCGTACAGGATAGGATGATTAAATATATATATATTTATCATGTAAGAAAAAAAATGTAAAAAAAAATGTAAACACTAAAATTATTTAAAATAAAAAAATTTAAAGATTCAAAATGCATTTAACCAATAACAAAAAAGTGTAGAGGTAGCTAACAATGGTTTAGTAATAATTTTTTTATAAAAATAAAAAAT